CTTTCCAGAACTCTTCGCGCGCACGTGTTGGTGAGATCTGAAACTTCCTGATTTAGAGAAGAAAATGCAGAAATACCAGGATTGATCAAGTATGCTTAATGATTGCCTTCAAATTTTGATTGTTTCTTTTACACCAAGACTTTGTTTCGAGCAGATCGAGAAAGATTGACTTTATTCTCAGTCAATGTTAACTCTAGTGATGCGCATCACTCGTGCTTGATGTTCAAATTCATTCGTCTGTCTGGCTGATAAAATTATTTATATTAATGCTTATTTCAATATCAAAGATGAGTGAGTGAGTGAGTGAGTGAGTGATTATGGCGCAAAAACCAGAGATGATTATGACGCGCCAAACAAATGATGAGATGATTACAATTGATGACTTAAAATTCAATAAATAAAAACAGGTAGATAAATGTACCAAATCCAGAGGATCAAGTCATATAAACACAAGTTAAAAGCACATATTAAAATTCAAGACACAGTCTTCAAAACAAATTACATTTGGTAATAAAAGCCAATCTCTTTTAAATAATAAAATAAATTAATATTGACTTCTCTCCCGATTAAACGGTCGAGAGGTAAGTCACAGCTATTAAAATATTTCTGGCGAAGACGATTAAAACATGGACACTCAATTAAAATATGACGGACAGATAAACAAACATTACAACTAAAACAAACAGGCTCATTTTCAGCTTTAAGAAGATAGTTATGTGTGACTCTAGTGTGACCAATTCTGAGGCGAGTCAAAAGAACGTCCTCCTTACGATTTCCAACAAAATCCCAATGCTCAATTCTAGGCTTGCCGTTTCTCAACTTGTTGTGATGCCGAACATCCCAAAATTGCTGCCATTTTTTTCGGACCTTTCCCTTGATGACACTGCAGATATCTCTAAAAGGGATAAGGCGACTGGACAGTTCAACAGCAGATTTGGCTGCGATATCTGCAAGCTCATTTTCTTTTATTCCAGCATGTCCAGGAACCCAGCAGTACAGGACTTCATAACCTCGAATCGTTAAATTTATATGAATTTTGAGAAAATCCACTACCACAGGATTTTGAGCGTTGGGAAAAGCTTCCAAGGATTTAAGAGCACTATACGAGTCTGTGTAAATTATGAACTTTTTGTGGCAGAGCTTTGAGATGTACAAAAGAGCATAATATATTGCAGTTAGTTCAGATGTTAGGACAGAGAAAGCATGGTGCAGGCATCTGCCCTCTATGTAATTTTCAAATACAAAAGCCATCCCGACATGATCATTTGACTTTGATCCATCTGTGTATATCGGATAATAACTGCTATATTTGTGCCTGTGGTCAGCAAAGGTTGTCTGTAAACGATCTCATTAGTGCTTGCCTTCACGTGATGTTTGAAAACATCAAGAAGCTGAATCCGTAAATTTTCCCAAGGTGGGATTTCAAAGTTCTGTAATGCTTGGGGGCGCATATCAGAGAGGGAATGTTCCTCAATGATAGGGCGAAGTCTTAAAGGAAAGGTAGGAACACAGGATGGACATGTTTCAAATAATGTGTTACACTCATTATCAAGTAAGCACAGCTTATTGGGATGTTCAGGTTGGGATAAGATATTAAAATATTGTAAAAGAGACAATTCCTCACGCCTCAGATAAAGTGATGGTTCGTTAGAGTCAACGTATATGCTCTGTACAGAAGTCCTGAAAGCTCCTGAACAATCCGCAAACCTTGATGGTGAACAGGATCCAGTTTTAACAAAACAGATGAGCGAGCGGATCCATAAACCACTGAGCCATAGTCCAGTCTAGAGCGGATAAGCGCTCTGTAAATGCGAAGCATGGAGCAACGCTCTGCACCCCAGGAGGTGTTCGCCAACACTTTTAAAATATTTAGTGTTTTTAGACACTTCTTTCTCAGGTTTAAAACATGAGAAAGGAAAGTCAATTTCTGGTCGAACGTCACTCCTAAAAATTTCACTTCGGGGGCAACTCGGACTTCCTACAAAAGTGCACGCACACAGTTTTCTGTTTCGAAAAGGTAAATCCCTGTTTGTCTGACCATTCTTGGATCTTATTCAGAGCCATCTGCAATTGCCTCTCTATGTATCTCATGTCTGCTCCTCGACAGCTAATCTGTAAATCATCTACATATAGTGATCCCAAGATGGTAGGAGGAAGTTCTTTTAATACAGAATTTATTTTTAAACTGAACAGCGTTACACTAAGCACACAGCCTTGAGGCACACCCTCTTCCTGTTGGAAAACATCCGAAAAAACAGAGCCAATCCTTACTTGAAAAGTTCTACTGTTCAAGAAATTCTGAATGAAAATTGGTAGGTTGCCGCGCAAGCCACTCTCGTGAAGATCCCGGAGTATACCGTATCTCCATGCCTTATCATAAGCTTTTTCAATGTCGAAGAATATCGAGACAAGGTGGCTTCTTTTTACAAATGCTTTTCGAATAGATGTCTCTAAGAGGAGCATGTTATCTACAGTTGTTCTTCCCTTTCGAAAACCGCTCTGATAAGGCGATATAATATCATTCTTTTCCAAGAAGTAGACTAGGCGGCTGTTTACCATCTTTTCAAACAGTTTGCAGAGGCAACTCGTAAGGGCAATTGGTCGATAGTTGGAGGGATTCCTTGGATCTTTCCCTGGCTTGACAATGGGAATGACAACAGCTCTCCTCCATGCACTGGGAAAAATACGCTCCTTCCACACTCTATTGTAAAGAGTGAGAAGAGCAGTCAGTGACTTATAGGACAGATGCTTTAGCATTTCGTAATTTATGCCATCAATCCTTCGATGCTGTCTGCCATAGATGAAAATCCTTTTAGTGAGATTTTTACATGAAGATTCAAGAAAATAATTACTCCTGTTTCCTGTACATCATTGCAGAAAATAATTTTTTTTTGAGCTTCTTCCTCCTTTCCAGAACTCTTCGCGCGCACGTGTTGGTGAGATCTGAAACTTCCTGATTAAAAGAAGAAAATGCAGAAATACCAGGATTGATCAAGTATGCTTAATGATTGCCATCAAAGTTTGATTGTTCCTTTTACACCAAGACTTTGTTTTCAGCGGATCGAGAAAGATTGACTTTATTCTCAGTGCAATGTTAACTCTAGTGATGCGCATCACTCGTGCTTGATGTTCAAATTCATTCGTCTGTCTGGCTGATAAAATTATTTATATTAATGCTTATTTCAATATCAAAGATGAAGAATAAAATATAATTGATTTGGTAACATACAGTTGTCATACTCTGGGGTAAGTACTTTATTTTGCTATCTTCTGTGGGTCACATATTTTATCCCTGTCATTCGGGTTATTGCGGAAACAACGTGATGTACTCTTAATCATTGTTATAAGTTCTTCGCTGATAATTACATAAGGAATTAAAATATATAAATATTTTTACTGCTACAAATATTTTCACTACTTATAGCTTTTCTCAATTAATATTTTCACCACATATGGTGCGTAATTATTTTTACTACATATACTATATATTTCACTACACTATGCAGCAGGAAATACGCATCCCTTATGAGGAAACTCATCGTCAGCCAAACCATCAGCTACTCCAGAGATATATACGTGGAGCACCTAACGGATGTGCGACAGTAAGGAGCCAGTGTAAAGGTTTGAACGAAAAACTTTACTGATGGACTAGTTCACAAAGGACAAACTGTACATATTGTAAATAATACAGTCGCCTTAAAATTGAAAAAACCAAAATGTAAAGCATATATGTATTGTAAATTCGAAATTGCATATTGTAAACATAAATAGGAAATGATCATGTAAAAATCATATGTGAGATATATAGAGATTATAAAATCGTGATGTAAACTTGTAAGCTTGATACTTACGCTACGTAAGTATCATTCGCATGTAAAGTGGCCGCAAATATTCTTAAATAAAAAGATTTCTGTTCTTATCAGCTTAATCGGTGGAACTAGTTGCTTGTGTCCCTGTGACAGCCTAATAGCACCGGTTAAGCAGATTGAACGCCGAAGGCGGAGTCGCCTTCCGCTTAATTTGCCGCATTTTTCTTTTTTTAGATTTTGAGTGGTGGATAGTCCAAAGGAAGGATGAGCTCCCGCCCCGCCTTGCTTCCCGGCCGAGGCCACGCCCACCGCCTGCCGTGAGGAGTCCTGGTTCCCGTTCTCCGCCAGCTGTTCCTGGGGTCGCAGTTCCAGCTCTTGTATTCGGAATTCCTGAGGATGCTGCTGCCTATAGGTGGGCCCTTGTATCTGGAGTTCCTGAGGAAGCTGTTGCCCATGGGAAGGCCCTGCCCAGGATGCTTGGAGCCACTGGAGGTGGAGTCTACACTTCCAAGGATCCTCCTGGATGCGCTGTGGATGTTCCTGTTCTTGCTTTTTCCAGTCCCAGTGCCGCGAAAGATGAAGCCGCCCCTGGAGGACCACCCCTGTCCGAGATGGATGCTGCTGCCCCCGGAGGAGGATTCTACGCTGCCACGGTCGCTGCTGGAAGCCGTGTTCCTGTTTCCTGCTACCAAGGACCCTGCTGGATGCCCTGTGGATGCTCATTCCAGTCCCGGTGCCGCAGATGATGATGCCACCCATGGAGGACCAACACTGTCTGAGATGACTGCTGCTACCCCCGGAGGAATTTCCTACGCTGCTAAGGTCTCTGCTGGACGCCGCGTTCCTGCTGCCAAAGTAGATGGAGCCACCCCCAGAGGACTACCGATTCCCGGGATGAACGCCGCTGCAAATGGAGGAATACCACTGCCTCTCAAGACCGCTTGCCCTAAGGATCCTGGATCTTCGATCCCAGTGAAATGCCATGTAGCCGCCTTTGTCACCCCGACTGGTCCGCCCATCACTAACACCAATCACATCCGAGTTCTCATCGATAAGATCTAGGCCCGCCACTCCTCAGTTTCTTCGCCTTCGGATGCTGCACCGACTACCTCTTCTCAGATGGATGCACTTTCGTTGAGCACTCCCGCCTCCCAGCCGATCTCCTCCCGCAACACCTCATGGCCGTCGTTTATGGGTACTTCTCCTTTCGTCTGTGAGACATGTGGAAAGGCGTTTAAGAGAAGTGGAAAGCTGAGGCATCACATGAAGCTGCACATTAAGTATGGACCTCCTTTGCCACGCCCACCGCCTGTGCAGACCTCGCCTTCTCCAGTGACCTCATTTACACGTTCGAAGACTACGCTCACCCACTTCTTGGCCCCGAATATCCTGGCGTCCAGCTCTTCCATGGACACCTACAGCTCTGATCTTGGTTCTCGCTCCCCCTCCTACAGCACCAGGGATTATAGTTCCTACGACAAAACCACCTCTCCGTCCACCTCCTCTGCTCCTGCTCTACCTGCTCGCAGTCCTGCAGTTGAGGTCCCTAACATCAATCCTGGCTGCTCACCTGGCACTGCTACTGGACCCTCATCTCCTGCCAATGACTGTCATCTCCTTGGAGCCGCTGTCACCGTTACCTGCCTCTCCTTCTGCGACTGCAATCAACGACTCCCTTC